GGTTAAGCACAAATTTTTATTATAGCATCTCCTCGATACTTCATAATATCGAATCGTTTTTTTTAATACCATTTCACTGAAAGCATTGATAGGCGATGTTGTAATGCAAAGCGCGAAGACCAGTGAAAATGTTTTTTTTTTCCTGAAAATGCATTTTAAAAAATTGTTTTTAGACCGAAAGCGCTTCGATTTCACTTTCTATACTTAACTTCACATCGGTGAATTTGCCGTTCCTGTATTCTTGTGTATCGTTACTTGGAGTGATTGCACTACTCATCACAACACCCATCGGTACAAAATACAAAATTTTTTCAATCTTTTTATCCTTTGAATGCCTATTATCTTGAAACGAGTTTTCAGATTGCTAATTTATCAGCCTTTTTGCAGGATTAACGAGGATGTTTTCGGTGGTATCGAATCACCTGCTATCTGCAAGCTATCACAGATGCGATCCCTCTGAGGAAGCAGTGTTCCGACTGGAATATCAGACCTTGAAACGCCGCTTGCAGCGAAAAAACCCAAGTGAAATTTCGCTTCCGGACTCTTTTCTGCCGCGAAAACCCCTCCGCGATTACCAGGTTGTATTGCAACGGATCAAATATGTGATCGCAATTCTCCTCCTACTCCTTTTAACCGTAAGTTATTTAAGAATCTTACTGTAAGTTATTTAAGAACCTTTTTATCTTTTTTATGCGTTTTTTGCAGCTTATGCAATGCAGAAAATGCATATTGACGGGCGGTTGTCTGTGTGCTTTGTGTGTGTCTGTCTGTTCTTCTGTACCGATTTTCATCTCGAGACCTACAAAAATTACAGGACTGAAACTTTATGAACTTAATCTGCATGCATGTACGGGCTCCCATCCCCAAATTGGACGTGCTTACTCGTGTGATGCCAGGCCCGTCAAATTCCTTTACTGGCAAGTTGTTAACTCGGAAACCAGAGAAGCTGTAAAGCCGAAATTTTGTGGGTGCGTTCCCCGTCCACCCAGGTCTTAACGAGTTCAAACCCACTCCTCAGGTATGCGTGGTACCCACGTACGGACTCGCCAAAATTTTTTTCGGGTAAGTTGCTAACACGGGAACCTGAAAAGCTAGAAGACTGGAATTTTAAGGGCATCTTCCTCGTCCACGTAGGTGTTAATGGGCTTAAATCCAGACACCGAGTGCGCGTGGTATCCACACCGTGAAAGTTTTTTGCGGGCAATTCGTTAAATCGAGAACCTGAAATGCTAGAAGACTAGAATTTTAAGGGGAAGTTCCCCGTCCACGTAGGTCTTAATGAACTCAAATCCAGCCCCTAGTTACGCGTTGTTCCTGTGTACGGGCCCGTGAATTTATTTGCGGTAAGTTGCTAACTCGGAAACTACAAAAAGTGGAAAGCTGAAATTTTAAAGAAATGTTTCCTGACAATTCTGGCGGCCGGTCTGAAATTCTTTTAGCTAGAAGCATCTGCCGAAAAAACCAGTGCCGCTAGCCACAAAAATCTGCAGGGAACTATGCAAAAAATGCATCTTCGCACCAGTCAATGCGCTGGCCACTTTTTTCATTTTTCAATTCCGACTTGTTTGCTAGTGGTTTAAGCCATTTCAAGCGTCTATTACAGCAACCAGTTGGCCTTTATCGCGATTTTTATTTTTCTTTCGTTCCAGGGCCTGTTTCTTGTGTTGCTTTGCTGTACGTCTTATAATCGCCTTCAGCTTGTTTTTAAATCCCAGTTAAAGTGGACCGTCTGCGTTTTCTTAAACAGGTGGTTGCTCTAGAGGTAGCTCTGTAATTTAGTGTATTTTCGAGTTTCTCAGGTCTTTACAGGGAGGAGGCGAGATGGAAAGATTATTAATTTTACCGACTTGTTTTGCTTATGTTTTGTTATTATTCGTTGCGATCCCTTGCTTCCCCCGCTCGCAACTTTTCATAAAATTGTCGTTTTACGATAATTTTTTGACTAACGAAAATAAGTTTATTCTTTTTGTGTAAATTTATTCTTTTGCAGGCAATCACGGTACTTATGGTGCTAATCAACACGCTGCAGCTGTTGTTCGGATTCCGAGCACTGCCTGTGTATGCGCAATACATTGAAGTAAATTCGCGCCACACATTCGGCATTTTCGGAGCTCTTGTTGAAGCTGTCATAATTTGGTAAGTTTTAATTAATAGTACAAAACGAGTTATATTCACTGTAGCTACCAATCCCTCATTTAATAGCTTTACACGCAGCTTGCAGCAGAAAGAGGGAAACTGCTACTAATTTTGGTCCACTTATATATTTTTGCAATCTGTTTGTTTAAATTTGGTATTTTTCAGTCTCTCAGCACTAACTATGCTATTTTCCTATTTGTTTTTCTAATTCTAACTGAGTTTCGCATCTTTTTGTTCCTTTGGCTTACCTTTTGACTACATTTCCCCATTTAACACCTTCCTTCCTCCCTCCAGTTTTACTCTTCATTAAGTCGTTTCTTTCCTTTTTATGCGTTTTTTGCAGCTGTGCAATGCAGAAAACGCATATTGACGAGGGGTTGTCCGTGTGTCTGCGTGTGCGTCTGTATCGATTTTTCATCTCAAGACCTACAAAAGCTACACGGCTGAAACTTTGGGAACTTAATCCACATGCATGTGCGGGTCCCAATCCCCAAAATGGGCGCCCTTGCCCGCGTTGTACCCATGCACGAGCCCGCCAAAGTTTTTTACGGGTAAGTTCATAACTCGGGGATCTGAGAAGCTAGAAAGCTGAAGTCTTAGGGTTATGTTCCACGTCCAAGCGGGTATTAATGAGCTCAAACCCTGCCCGCGGGTAAGCGTGGTACCTACGTACGGGCCCTTGGAAGTTTCTTCCAGGTAAGTTGCTAACTCGGGGACGTGAGAAGCTAGAAGACTGGAATTTTGAAGGGATGTTTCCTGACAGTCCTGGCGG